AAAGGGAAGGAAATGTTTATAGTTCCTGGTCTTTTAATGAATCGAGATCTATTGATAGAATTGGGTTTTTTTTATTGTTGGGATGCTGAGGAAAATCTGATATTGATGTAAGAACACTGCTTTACTTATTGGCTTGAGTAATATAACTTGCCATATTAAGAAAATGTACATTATGGGGTTATGGCAATACATTGGTTATTGGAAGCCAACCATCTGTTTGACTTCATTTGCTTAGTAGTTGGATGCAATTTCTCTTTCTGGAGGTATATATAATCTCAAAGCATTAGGCTTGAACATAATACTCTTTAGTTCTGCTTGGTTCATAGCAGAAGGATCAACTGTTGAACCCTGTAAGTAGGTTATTGGGTGCGCCGAATTTGTCTTGTATGCGCACCAAGTGTGATCCAACAAGAGATTCTGTTGCCCCTCTATGTTCTGAACAGTTCTTTTTTTTTTTTTTTTTTGAAATTGTATTGGTACTGAGTATTTATTGGTTTCCTTCTATGAAGGAGATACAATCTTACTATGTGTTTCAGAACCTATTTGGTAGCAGACTAGCAATACCTGAGAGATAATTAGTTGCAGAGGAATAAAAATATTTTGTTTATTTCATGTTGGTCTTGGTTCTGATGATGATTGTTTGAATTTTGAAGTTTGAATAATTACTCATTTTTTTCCTGTCAAAGGTACCGTGCAATTACAAGTGCATACTACAGAGGAGCTGTTGGTGCTTTGCTTGTCTATGACGTCACCCGGCATGTTACATTTGAGAATGTTGAAAGATGGTTAAAGGAGCTACGGGATCATACAGACTCCAATATCGTGATAATGCTCGTGGGTAACAAGGCTGACCTGCGTCACTTGCGTGCTGTTTCTGTTGAGGATGCTAAGGCCTTTGCTGAGAGAGAGAACACCTTCTTTATGGAGACATCAGCACTCGAGTCTATGAACGTTGAAAATGCATTCACTGAGGTCCTAACACAAATATACCATGTAGTTAGCCGGAAAGCACTTGAGGTTGGGGATGATCCTGCAGCACTACCTAAGGGACAAACCATAAATGTTGGAAACAAGGATGATGTTTCAGCTGTTAAGAAAGCTGGTTGCTGTTCTGCCTAATCACCAGGGCGACAGGTCAAAGCTCAAATATGTCGTCTTCTCATTTTGCTAGTATCGGGATTTCTACCTGGCTACTCATGGAATTTCTCATGAACTTTTTACTGTATGGTCATGTCTTCCAGTGCTTGAGTTTTTCTGGGGTTGGCTTATAGTTTTGGATTCAAAAGAAATCTCACAGCTTCCATCTTATGTCAATTTCTTGATTATTTACCCCTGCTCTTCCCCCGTAAAATTTCTTTGTTTCTTTATCTTTTGTTGTACTTGGTTGCTCTAGTTTAGGAAGAATTTTCTGGATAATTTTGTTTTTGTATCTGATTGATGATTAGTTAAATCTTAAATGTATGATGAATTAGCTCCCCTTTTATGGCTTGAATAAATTGCTGGTCGTGTACTTGGAAATACAAGATTTAATTAGATGATAGGTGTACCGGAGAAAATTTGAAGGGCATATTTCACAAGAACGATAGATTTAATTAGATGATAGGTGCACCATTTCTATTTCCCAAAACCAACCAATGAAAAAGAGAAGAAATTTAACAATAAAAGTTATGATCCTTCTCTCGCATATCGGACTTACATTACTCCCATTGAGCAAAAAGAAACATTAAAGTCACTTATTGGCTTTTTGTTTCTGTTTCTATCTTCTGCAACAAAGTACCGTGCAGTTTAATGTAGATTCTCAGATTTACAGGTTATAAGCCATCTACTGCAAGTCATAGTGGCGGGCTTAGATTGTCTAATTTACGAAAGAAACTTAATCGTCCCCGGGTGCATATCCCTTATCTCCCCATAGCGGTCATCCCTCTGTCCCTAGAGGGGGTGCTATCAGGAGAGGGGTCATTATGAGTGCTATAGAGGAGTACACCCCCGTGTAAAATCCTGAGTCTGCAGTTAATAGGCAGCCAAAACCATGTCAAAAGAATCAGACAAGGCAAAACGATCCAAAATAATATGGACCTGAAAAAGAACCTACAAATTATGTAGCAGGGCAAGTACAGCCAAAAAGCACCCACCCCAACAGGAGTGTAAACTTTAAATTAATCATAATTCAGCGTTCCATCAATTTGAATTGACAAAGATGAACTATAAAAATAAATAAATAAATAAAAAGCATTGACACAAATGAACAAGAATGTGGCATAATTACCAAGAGTTATACAGCACATGAAGACTGAATTATAAAAAAAAAAATGAAAAAAGTCTGTACAAGTTTGATAGATACAGGACCAATGTTTTTGAAAAGCCAACAAATAATTGAGCTGGGAGGGTGTTACTGTTGGTCAGTATATTTATATATATATATTTATATATATGCTGAGTGCATATACAAAAATACATAACAAAAGAAAATTAGTAGAAGAACAAAGGAAGGAAGCCCTTTGTCATTCAACTGTCACACCATTTCTATACATTCTTCTTCCCGGTGGTCGTCAATGCTTCAGATTTGCAGATGGGGCACACATTCTTCACAAGCAACCACTTCTTTAAACAATCCACATGATACTCATGTCCACAATGAAGAGTTCCTATCTTCTCACGTTTCTTATAATTATCCTGTAAAATCCCAAATGCAACAATGGTGAATTGAGCAATTGCACATAAATGTCAAGACGAAAAAATATTTTGTGATTGACTGAGAGTTTTATCATACCTGACATATAATGCAAGAATCAGCTTCCTTATCTGAGCATCCAGCTTCTTCCAGATTAAAATTTGTAGAAGATGATAAATAAGTCCTTGTCTTTAGTTGTTTTTTAATTCTCTCCTCAGACAACCCAGTGCTTACATGGCCAATTTGCTCCCCCAATGCAAGAAGCTCCTGCAATTGAAAGTGGAGATATCAGGTTAAAACTTTGCAGAGGCAGCATAAACATGAGAATAACAGAATAACAAGTGGGTAAGAATAACAAAGAGGAACATAAAAATATTCAAGAATCTATCTAAGCACCTCTTCATCTTTTTCTTATCTACCTGATTGAGTTATCCATCTATATGAACAAGTAGGTAAGAACCAAACTTCGTTAATTTACCTCATATGACATGTCCTCTATGTCCAAGCGCATGTCTCTGTGCTGGTCAAGAAAGCTGCTATAAAAATTTGGAACATCTACTATGACCCCCTCCTACAAAAAAGCACCAAAACAGTTCAGCCAAATATTCTTCCACTCCACACAATAGGCAAACGAGAGAGAGAGAGAGAGAGAGAGAGAGAGAGAGAGATTACATCAGCCTGAAGAACTCTCAAGTGGGGAAGGTTCTGGTGTCTTAGAGCTGTCTCAGGAGTAACTCCTTGGTGAGGCCTGTATATCCTGAAGCCATTTGGTGGAACAAGTCCTGGTTGCCGACGACCAATCTCCAAACCATTCTGAGAAGGATTCACTGTGCTGCGCGAGGAACTTGTGGGTAATCTGTATGAAGCTGTCGTGGCTCCCTGGAGAGGAAAATTAAGATTGTGGCCTCTTAATCCTTGCATGGGCGGTGCTACTACTTGCTGACTATGATGCCGGTGGTTGAGGGGAGGAGGATGCCGGAGAATGGTGGAACTTCTGTTGCCAGATGAATCATGATATCTTTGCATACCCATGTTCGCACTGTCCATGGAACCTACAGTGACATTGCCCCCTGTAAGAGAGAGAGAGAGAGATCCCAATCAAAAACACATTTGGGTTTCTTAATTCGGCTCCATAAGTTGTAACAGAAATATTTTCCATGGGAAATAGACATGACATTGAGAGCAAGTTCTCAAAAGGAAATATGTGCATGAGCTTCATTCAAAGCAGGCCTACATTACTTTAAGAGATGGCAACTGCTTCTAGAGATCAACCTTTATTCAACCTTTCTAACATGAATGACCTAAATTGATGCAAATAGGAATCCAATTACAGGGGAAGAAAATACAAAGCAAGTACTGACCATGCATAAAAGGAATATTAGGAGCTTGATTCCAGGCTGAAGCACCTCCATCTCCATTGTTGATAGTTAAATGTTGATCCAACCAAAGAGTTCCAGCCGGCTGAAGGCGCTGACCCACATAATTTCCTTGATTCAGATGGTTATGGTCATGTGTCATAGCAGAATCAAGCCCAGTTGTAGCTGACCTATTCCTCATACTACTCTGAGGTCCTGCTTCCATAATTGGTAGATTGCCAGTTCCCACATACTGAGGCAGGGCAAAGGTTACTGCATCCATTACAGCAACCCCATCAGGATTCCTTATATTCAAAGGAGGCACTGAAGAACTAGAGGTTGCTGAGGCATTAAAATATTGGAAATTCCCTGGTAGGCCTTCAGGATTTTTCCTCTTGCATGGACCTCTGACATCATCCATGATGCGACTATTCCTGCCATACTCATCTGCAGAAACTCCAATGACTCCATAATGGCTAGAAGATGGCAGCGGATCAGAAGCCCCATGATTCAGAGGAACAGGTAACACCCCAGAACTCGATGAGGGGGTCATGTATGAATAATAATAGTTGGAAGGAGTTGTGATGCCCAAATCAAGATTATGATGATGCTGAACACCACTGTACTGGGCCATCCCGTAGAATGCAGCATTATCATAGCGCTCAGGTAAATGTTGGGCATCGAAGCTGGTCCCTGAAGCTGTTATCATTGTGTGAATATTAGGTTGATGGATATTGGTTGCGCCCCCGAAATGGATGGAGGGTGGGGGACAGAAATAACCTTCCCCTTGTTGATTCATTTCCAAATCAATCATCTGACTAGGGCATAGCATGTTTCTTTGCCCCATTGGTGTCACAAGTGATACCTATTCTCCAACCAAGGTTTTTATAAAAATCAGTCACATGAGTAGCAAGGAGATTATAGACCAAAGTCAACAACTAACATTTAGAGAGAGAGAGAGAGAGATATATAATATATTCGGACAAAAAAATAGGGTTATAAAGTCTTCCAGATTAGGAAGTTCAAGTCGTGTAACTAAGCACAACCAATGTGACAGTTAGTCACAAATATAGCACAATAAAAAGGCATCTAACAGATTCCGTAGAATTTCATCAACTTCCCAATTAATTTTTCCAAAATCAAGGTCAATTACTGAGAATATGGGTGACTGAAATTTGACACTCAACAGGTAGAAAGCAGCAATTTGATACTCAACAGGTAGAAAGCAGCATAGAAAGTCAAACAAAAGACTATTTCATGCAACTGTAACGACATGATCACATTGACCACAAAATCCTTCAGGGATGGAAAGAAGCATAAAGGAAACCCTTGCCAGCAAACACTATCTTGAAAAAGAAAACAGATCCATCCATCCACCCCCTCAAGATGAATGTAAACAGTTTAGGTTGCCTCGGACACAAAACTGGAAAATCCAATTGTCCAGTATCTTTCAAAGGTAATGAGAATCAGGAATCACCAGTGAAACATGATTAAAATAAGCATCCTTCACATAATAATTTCTGCTTCTCTCGGTTTACAACTCTCTACCACAAGTAACCTTTAAAGGTACCAACTACACCCCATATTAAAAGTAGAATGAATGACAGGTTCATTGATTAAAAACTCTTACTACAAAAATATGTAGTTACAGATATTACAGTGATAAATAATATAGAAGCACCACTTGAAAGAATTTAATTCCAAGGGTCGAGGAACTTTAGGAGAAAAAACTCACTCTTCCAAATGTATACCAACATATATTGCCTTCATAAATCATCTCTCTTAAACCATACAAAGAAGTCCTGTCCATGACTTTGTCCAAACTAATCCTGCATGTACCTCCAATCTTTTTGCAGACTAAATCAAAACATTCCCCATTAATGATTACCCCGTCTCCAAAGAACCCCATTCCACCAAAGCACATTAAGAGCATGTTTAACACTGATTTTGGAAGGGCAAAAACCGCTTTCAGATAACCAAAAATGCTTCTTAGCATTGCCGGAAAAATTTAAAAGTGCATATAAATTACAAAAGCGACGCACTTTTTACAGTTTTTCTGGAGCAGCCCTCTTCAGAAAGCACTTGAATTTTTAATTTAAAAACTTTGTGTTTCTAAAGAAGCAGTTCTAGCATGAGCATAATGCTTCCAATAGAAGCATTCCTAAATGGGCCCTAAATGTAGCATTGATCTCATGGTCGCAAACTACACATTCTTTTTTATTAAATGGAGATGTGAACCTAGGATCTCCACCCTCACCCCATCGCAAACTATACACTCCAAAGCAATATCCGGAACCAGATACGGAAAAACGCATACCTGAGGAGAACTAATATTATGAGATTCTAAGGTCTATGTAAAGGGAGCAATTAAAACAATTATATATAATAAAAAAGGTTGTATATTAATAAGCCTCATGGAGACAAAACAAAGAATACCATACAATCTAATAT